ACTGCATTTGTAAAAGTTTCAAGCTGCGACCAAAAAGGAGCATGGCATTTGACTTAGAGCGCTCCTTATGGAGTTGGCCCTCATACCTGCCTCGGAGCCAGCTATATCGGACTCTGCTCCAAGCACTGCAGCATTGGTGTGAAGTGCACCGCCAGCACTGGCCTCCGACCAGCACGGATCCCCATCCCAAGTACTAGTTGAAAAGCAAAGAAAGGCCAGGAGAGGGCATTCTCCTACATCTCATAAAGGGAAGGAGAGAGCTGGGGGAGAGCAAAGACCTGCACGGGGCAGCTCCTCCCCTTCAGACAGTGGCCAGTCTCCAGCATCTCTTGGGCTGTTGAGCCCCCTTAGAGACCTGCCCACCACCCCAGGAAGTGGCAGAGGCACTTGGCACCTGGCGGTGCCATCCGCACTGGAGGCCTTTCAGGCCACATTGTCCCTGCCGGTTTCGTTTACATTGGTTAGTGAGGTTCCCCATTCAAGGGGTAAACCCACTCTGGGACTTCTCCAGCAGTCCCCATCGGTGCAGCACTGCTCCTCAAGGCAGGGGGTGCCCCGCCAACGCTCACCTGAGCAGTGCCACCAGCCCCTGGGTATGGGTCGGCTTACCTGTCAGCGTTCCCAGCATCGTTCCCTGGACTCTAGGCAGTGTTCCCCAGGATCCTGGCACCAATCACCGGCTGTCTGGCACAGACCTGTGGAGGCGCATAGCCAGTCCCCAGAGTCCCAGCACCAGTCCCCGGAGCGGCCGAATCGATCTTCAAACTTGCGACACCACTCTGGAGAGTCAAGATGCTGGTCCCTGGAATCCTGTCACTGGTCTCTAATTTGCCACTATGGATCCTCATGGGTACTTGAATTATCTCCTGAGCTAAGACCTCGATCCTCTCACTCCCAGTCCACAGAGCTGCATCGCTGTCAAAGCATGAGGCATCAATCACTGTGGTACTGTTACCATTCTGCTGAATGCCGCTGCCAGTCACAGGAGGTGCAGCACAGAGAGCCACCTTCTCTGTACAGGTCACCAGTGAAGAGGTCTGACGGGAACGGGGCAGACAGCTGGCATCAGTATCGTCCTGGTTCCCCTGGCGAGTCTCTCCCTCTTCAGGCTCAGAGAGTGAAGAGAAGGATCTGCCTGCAGGGCAGGACCACCCACCGGGGGCATTGGCATTCCCATCGGGCCCACCAGTGGCCGCATGGCCCCAAGGTCAATGGCTGGCTCCCTGGCAACTATGGAACCCTGGGGGTTTCCTCAACCATTGCAGGGGCATCTGAGGAACAGTTGACAACAGTCTCCCGCCTGCTCCCCTGGCGGAGGTTACTGAGTTGGCAGACCTGCCTATACCCGCCTCCTCATCCTCTTCGCCTGATGAGGCGATAGCAGGACCTTCCTACATAGGTTCACCAGGAGCTTATAAAGAGGGTGGCATCTAACCTGGGTTTGGAGGCTGAGGAGTTGGCAGAACCCTCTGACCCCGTTTGATGTTTTAAGTGCAGCAGCCCCCTCCAAGGTGGCATTGTCCATCCATGAGGGAGTGATAAAGCTGATCAAGGTCTTCTGGCAAACCCCCAAATCACTGCCACCCATGTAGGGTGAGAGAAAGTATTACGTCCCTGCTAAGGAATTTGAATACCTGTATACATACCCCACTCCAAGCTCACTGGTGGTATTGGCAGCCAATGAGTGCGATAGACAGGGCCAACCGGGATCGACCCCTAAGAGTAAGGGGGCAAAGAGACTTGATCTCTTTGGCAGAAAAATTTATTCTATGGCCAGCCTCCAGTTGAGAGTTGCCAACCATCAGGCCATTATTTTAACATTTGGCAGTCCATGCTCAAGTTTGCAGACTCATTGCCAGAGTTCCTGGCTATTCTGGATGAGGGCAAAGCTGTGGCCAGGGCAGCCCTCCAAGCAGCCTCAAATACAGCAGACTCGGCGGCCTGGACCATGGCTTTAGCCATTTCCAGGAGGCGTGCGTCCTGGTTTCAGTTGTCGTGCCTGTTAGTGGAGGTTCAGCACTCCATCCAGGACTTCCCCTTCGATGGCCTGGCACTGTTCGCGGAACAGACAGACAGCAATTACACGGCCTGAAAGACTCAAGGGCTACCTTGTGCTCGCTGGGCCTTTACATGCTGGCGCCTGTGAGAAAGTGGTTCAAACCACAGCAGTCCCACAGGTTTGGGGGCCAATCCCAAACAGAGCCTTTCTGCAAAAAGGGCAAGGACTACAAGCACCTGCAAGGCCAACACCCGGCCTCATCAGCGCACTCGAGCTCTACTTGCAACCAACTGGGTACTAAGCAGGCATTTTGAGTGTGCACTCAAGGGCGACCTTCCAGCCTGCGAGACTCAGGCTGCGTCCCCTCCAGATGTGGCCCACATCGGACTACTTACCGGACAGACATCACTTAGACAAGGTCATCACGATCCCTCCGCGGATAGTTACCTCTCAGCAGTGGTGGTCCGACCCAATTCTAGTATTGAAGTGTGCCATTCACAAGCCCGTGGCCCACGGTCTCCCTGATTTCAGATGCATCCGACCTCGGTTGGGGAGTGCTTTTCAGTACACCGAGGACTCAAGGGTTATGTTCTTGAAAGGAGCTTATGTTGCATATAAACGTCAGGGAGCTCAAAGCTGTCCACCTGGCTTGCGGCGACTTCCTTCCCCAACTGTCTGGCCAGGTGGTGAAGGTGTTGACAGTCAACCCAGCCTCCATGTTCTATGTCAACAGGCAGGGGGAAGCTCGATCGTCAGCGCTGGGCCAGAAGCCCTCCATCCTTGGGACTTCTGCATCCAGCATGCAGTCCACCTGGAAACCTCCCCAGTGTCCAGAACACGCTGGCGGATTGCCTCAGCAGGTCCTCCTTCTCTCACCACAAGTGGTCCCTTCACTCGGAGGTTGTCAGAATGCTCTTCCAGAAGTGGGGAGCTCTCCAAGTGGACCTGTTCACCACCAGACAGAACAGAAAGCGTCATCAGTTTTGTTCTCTCCAAGGCCTCGGCAAAGGCTCACTATCCGATGTCTTTTTCTTGTCTTGGTCAGAGGACCTGATATACGCCTTCCCACCAGTTCCGTTTATAAGCAAAGTCCTCTCAAAAATCAAGAGGGACAAGGCACAGGTCATTATGATTGTCTCAGCATTGGTTCGGCATGCTCAGAGACCTGGCCGTTGCAGCCCCTTGGCCACTTCCCAGCTGCTTGGACCTACTCTCGCAGGATCACAGTCAACTTCTGCATCTGGACCTTGCCTCTCGCCACCTCACAGCTTGGATGCTGCGTGGCTGAATCTAGAGGAACAAGCCTGGTCTAGTCAGGTACAGCAGGTTCTCTTGGAGAAGCAGAAAGCCCTCCACCAGAGCAACTTACTTGGCAAAGTGGAAACATTTATCCTGCTGGGCATCAGAACGGAATATCTCCCCAGCCCAGTCATCTCTGCAGGCCATACTGGATTACCTGCTTCACTTAAAGCACCAAGGGCTCACCTTCTCTTCTATCAAGGTGCACCTGGTTGCCGTATCAGCCGTATGCATCCAGGGTAGATCGGTGTTCTCGCATGAGATGTCAATCAAGTTCTTGAAAGGCCTTGGAAGACTCTTTCTGCCGATCCGGGATCCGGTTCCCCAATGGGACCTCAATCTGGTCCTCTCCAGGCTCACAGATTCATCCTTTGAGCCTATGGCTTTTTGTTCCCTTTCTCACTTGTCATGGAAGATTGCATTCCTTGTAGCCATTACCTCGGCGAGACGTGTCTCCAAAATTAAAGTCCTCACTTTGGAGCCACTGTACACTGTATTCTCCAAGGACATGGTCCAGGTCCAGCTGCAGCCCCATCTGGCCTTCCTGCCAAAGGTGGTGTCGCACTTCCATGTGAACCAGGATTATTTCCTCCTGGTGTTCTGTCCAAAGCCTCACACGACCAATGAGGAAAGGCGGCTGCACGCTCTGGATGTCAAGCATGCCCTGGCTTTCTACCTGGAGCCCTTTCTGGTGTCCTCTCAGAGGATTTTGGATTTGGATCACCACTTTCATCCGTACTCGTTATTAGTTAGCACAGGCTGTGCCTCCACCGATACTGAAGGCTCACTTGATGAGGGCTCAGGCATCTTTGGCTGCGTTCCTGGCGCATGTCCCTATCCAGGACGTCTGCAAGCCACGATGTGGTCTTCGGTACACACGTTCACAACGCATTATGCCATCACCCAGCAAGCCAGAGATGACGCTGGATTTGGCGAAACTGTGTTGCAATTGACATGTCCATGAATTCCTACCTGCCACCAATGGTACTGCTTGGGAGTCACCGACAATGGAAGGGACATGAGCAAGCACTCGAAGAAGAAAGAGTTACCTGTTTTCGTACCGTGTTCTTCGATATGTGTTGCTCATGTCCATTCCAGGACCTGCCCTCCTTCCCCTCTGTCAGAGTTTCGGCAAGAAGGAACTCAGGGAGTAGGGAGCCGGTGGTGCCCCCTTATACCGCGGCATATTCACGCCACTCCAGAGGACGCCAGAGCCAGTCCCCGATGGATACCACTGAGGGGAAAATTTCCAGCACCAGTGGATGTGGCAAGCACACACACCTACAATGGAATGGACATGAGCGACACATCTCAAAGAACAAGAGTTACGAAAGGTAAACGTCTTTTACTTACCCTACAGTAAGTGTGGTTCTTCAAGATGTGGTCAGTGTGGATCCCATGATTCCGTCCCTGCTTTTCAGAGTTCTCTGCTTCCATGGCCTCAAATTGCAAGGGAATTGAGGGAGCATTGCAGCCACTCCCCCTTTATACCCTTACATGAGAGCACAAGGAGAGGCATAGGCACATGTGCAACCCTGATGGATGCTGTTACTAAAATAAAATATCCAATCTCACATGCATGGGAATCTAGAATAGACCTTTGAAATGGGACCATTGTTAAGGCAAGCAAAGTTTGAAGACCGACAACCATCTTGACAATGTGCCTTCAATCACTTGCTGATTTTTTTTTTCCCTTGTTTAGGTTCAGCGCACTATTGCCAAACAGATTCAGATGGTGCGGCAAGTTGGGAAAGGGCGATATGGTGAGGTGTGGATGGGTAAATGGCGAGGCGAAAAAGTGGCAGTCAAAGTATTTTTTACCACTGAGGAAGCCAGTTGGTTCAGAGAAACTGAGATTTACCAGACTGTTCTAATGCGTCATGAAAACATACTTGGTAAGTAAGCAGTTTGTAATTTGAATGGGTAGTGGAGGACTTGTATTTCAAAGAATTGTAGTTGTTTCATGAAGAGTGTGGAGAAGTTCCTTTATGAAATCACTGGAGGAATGTAACATAGCATATAATAATAAAAATGCTATAATTATATGCAGACTATGGATCTTGCTTATTTTTAATGTTACAAATAACAGATCCTGACTTTTCTTCTTTTTGCTTGAAGACCAGCATTGTGACATCACATGAGGTTGAAACCTAAACTAGCACTCCTGGTCCCCAAATAAGAAGTGATGGGTGTGTAAGGGGCTGTTGAGTCTTACTTTAAAATGAGTCTGCAGTTTTTTCATTTCCTGAAAAGTCTTCCAAGTAACGAATTATGTGGTTTTTATGTAACACTAAATGCTAACTTTGTTTATGCATTTCACAGGTTTTATAGCAGCTGATATTAAAGGCACAGGCTCCTGGACACAACTTTACTTGATTACAGATTACCATGAAAATGGATCCTTGTATGACTTCCTGAAATGTGCCACACTTGACAACAGGGCTTTGCTCAAACTGGCTTATTCTGCTGCATGTGGTCTGTGCCATCTACACACAGAAATTTATGGGACACAAGGCAAGCCTGCTATTGCACACAGGGACCTGAAGAGTAAAAATATCTTGATAAAGAAAAATGGAAGCTGCTGTATTGCCGACCTGGGTCTTGCAGTGAAATTTAACAGGTAGATGATCAAAGCCTATTAATAGTTGGTATCTTTTGCACGTATGTTGAAAGGCATCAAAGATCAAGTTGAAATAAATTAATTGAATAGTAAAATATATTACCTACAAAATTACTGTTTTGACTGTATTTAAAAATATGAAAAATTACTACAAAAACAATTGCTAATGTTTGAAGCAGCCTCAAAATTTCACTTTCCCACACTAGTGCCAAAGAAACTGCAAGCCCTTGTCCAAGAATTGACGTGGTAATTTCTAGTACAGTTTTTAGTGGTGTCTGGATAGTATGGTGATAGAACATTATAAATGCAGGTAATTTTGTAGAAATAGGTTGTTTTTTGTTGTGTTTTTGTAAAGCTCATTGTAACCTGCTCAGTGTGCTCAAAATGTTCCTATTAGAAATAAGAGTATTTTAGGTCTAATATAGGGGTAAAAACTGTACATGTAAAGCTTATAGTGGAATGCACGGGCTACCAATGTCTTGAAGGGGATATCAGATCCTAGAACACAAGAAAACTTCAGCATGAGTATTGATGTGTAGAACTGTGGATATTAGTAATGCATTTTGAGTCTTGAACATTTGGAATTGTCTGCTTCTGTCTGCTTAGTCATGTGTGCAGGTTTTTTTTTTTTTGCAAAGCAGTTCACATGAACCTTTATGTTGGGTATTTTATAATCTTTTTTTATTTAATCTGTCTAAAAGAAGCATAATATATTATAAGCTGTAATATTGGAAGGAGGATTTGAGAAAGATCTATAATTTAATTATAGTTCATAATTTTACTTCGTACAATAATAATTGCATCTTTTTGCATGACATCAGTTTCTTTGTACTGCTCCACAGTTCGTTTAACCTTTATTATTTACATTTAGTGATACGAATGAAGTTGATGTCCCTTTGAATACTAGAGTGGGAACAAAACGTTACATGGCCCCAGAAGTCCTAGATGAAAGCCTAAATAAAAATCATTTCCAACCATATATCATGGCTGACATCTACAGTTTTGGCTTGATCATTTGGGAAATGGCTCGGCGTTGTGTCACAGGAGGTAAGCCTTTAAATCTTGTGTTTCAAAATTTATTTACAAAACTAAGTTTTCAAAAGAATTTACCCAATACCTCTAATCCAAAGACTAAACCTTCTGAAGAGGATGGAAAATACTTGAGTTCTACCGCTTGCCCTGTGTCTCAAGGGCAGGCACCCTGCATTTTAAAAGAACAAAACAGCTGTGTGATTCACTTAATTGTAACACTGTCAATCAACTGTCTTCTTAATTCATTTTTTATAACATAACTTACTATTTTTCTTTTGCTTTTTTTATACCTTCGTACTGTGCCTGGTTCCACTCTACTCTTCCTCTTTTTTCCTATGATAGATGACTTGTGTATCTTTTTTCTTGCATTGTTTTCAATATCTATTTCCCCTTTTTTTGGTCTTATTCCTGTGCCTTCTTACCTATCTCTTTCCCTACATTGTGTTCTCTATCTCCATCCCATATTTTCTGTCTTCTACTTCTTCCCAAATTTGCACTCTCTCTTTTCAAGAATTTGTAAGTTCTTCTTCAAGTGATGTCCTTGTGGGTGCTCCACTTTAGGTGGTTGAGTGCCCCTGTGCTTGTAATTGGAGATTTGTGGTAGCAGTGCCTGGTTGGGTTGCACATGTGCAGTCCCAGTCTCACGCTGCCGTAAGCAGTTAACTGACGCTGTGTGACCAACCCCCTCAACTCCCCTTCCTTTACCACCTTTGGCTTGAATAGGAGCATTCAGCAGTGCCTCATAGCTTAGTATTTTACCCCTTTTCCATTAGTTCTTTGACTAGCTAATTTGCCTTCCCACTTTCTCCATGTTTCTTTTTGCTTCCAAAAAAAAAAAAGTTTATTTCTTTCCCTCAGTAGAAGCTAGTATTTTGTTTCTCTGTTGAGTAGTGTTAGTTCTCCCCTCATGGGGAAGGGGGAAATACTCCCCTCAGGGGCATGCCCAGTTCACTGGGCTTTAAATACTGCCTGACCTGCAGGCTTTCAGTACCTATTTCAGATGGACAATCTCAGTGTGGTCACTTTTCTTCCTCCTTCCTGGATGATATCATCATGCCTCCTCCCCCCCCATGAATGATGCAATCCTGGAACCTATCAAGCACGTCTGGCAGACCGCTGCAACAATCGCTCCAATCTGCAAGAGGTCCGACAGGAAATATTATATCCCTGCAAAGGGAAGAAAGTTTCTTCTTCGTGTGATTGCTCATGTGCATTCCAATAGGTGTGCGCGTGCATCGCATTCACAGTCATCAGAAGGTTTTTCCCCAGCGTACCCGTCGGGTCAGCTGTGGAGACCCCTGCAGTGGTGCCTTTAAGGCGGTGTATATAGGTCCCTGCCAACCCGCCGCCTGCTCAGTTCCTTCTTACCGCCAGTGAGAGTCATTGAAGCAGCTCAGTCTCTTGCATTCACAAGTGCCTACCTAGTGGTGCCCTTTTCTTAGTTGCATATAGTTGTTAGTTCATTTTATATTAGTTGTAGATTAGTTGGACTTACTTTGGGGGGCTTCCCCCTCGTCCTAGTTTCCCCAGGCGCCAGGGCATGCCTCGGTTGCAGACGTTTAAGGTGTGCGAGAGGTGCGCGAAACCTATGCCCACAGGCGATCTGCATGCTGCCTGTCTCAAGTGTTTAGGAAAGGGACATCAGACAGATAAGTGCCCAATTTGCAGGAGCTTCAGACCCAGAACTGAGAGTGGGTCTGTCGTTTGAAGCTCCTCCTGATGCAGTTGGCCCTCCACCCGCAGCCGGAAGCGGCACCGGCATCCTTGGCGCGCAGCGCTCTGGCCTAAGTGCGGGATGTTCCGGTTCCGAGGAAGGAGTCCTCCAAGGAGCACCGGCGCTGCTCCCCAACCCCTAAGACGAGTGCCACGAGGCGGCACCGTTCGCAATCCCCGGTGCCGCATAAAAAAAAGAAGGCTGACGAGGTCATTTCCTCCTTCAAGAAGCTGCGAGGGGACTCAAGCGGGGTGCGTCCTCCGGCGGGACACCCACGGTCTGGGCCTCAAGACCCGGCGCCATTGACTCCAGCTCCAACGGGAGGCTCGTCGAGTCCGGTGCTGATGGATTCCCTGACTTGGGAGGATTTGACAGAAGAGCTCGACCTTCCCTCCACATCGGACAACCTGTGAGGCAGCGAAAGACCTCATTGCCAAGATGGTGCAGGCCCAGGCACTGTCAGCAGCACCAGCGGCAGCACTGACTGCAGTCTAGCCCGGCACCATATGTGGCTCCAGCACCTTTTGCAGCATCGATGGCGGCACCGCCTCTGGTTCATCATCATGGCAAGCCTATGATGTTACGGCGCTGCTCACCATCTCCCTGGTACTGCTCCCTGGTGCCATCCAGCTCCGCCCCCCGTGGTCAAGCACCTACTACTCGTCTGAGTCAGACACTGAGTCTCTCAATGCAGCCACTACTGGTCCCAGCACCACAGACCAGTGCAATCATTGGCACCGGCGATCGCCTGGCCATCCCAGTAGCAGGGCTCAGTCCAATGGCCCTTTTGGTTCCCTTAGGCCTACCACAAGGCTCAGGGTCAGGGCTTCAGGCTGGCATCTGCACCCTGTGCCACCCCCTCAGCAACATCGCTGGCTCACTACACCCCCAGGGCTCCTGAGGACTCCATACGAGACAGGGACTGTCAGCTGTCATGCTCAGGCACTGCACCCGATCCAGCACCATCAGTGACACTAGAGCCGCTTCCAGTCATGGGAGGCTCCGAGGTATCTGACCCAACCACCAGAGAGTTGGAAGGGCAGGAAGACCCTGTCCCACGGGCCTCCTCCTGTTCCTCACCAGACAAGGCGGTGGCGGGCACCACCACCACCCTGCCAGCGATGGACACCAAGGGTCACCAGGACCTCCTTAGGAGGGTGGCCCTAAACCTTAATCTCCAGGCAGAGGAGGTCATGGAGGAGTCTGACCCAGTGGTGGACATCCTTACCCCTTGAGGGTGTCCTTGCCCCTCATAAGAACGATCCAAAACACCACTAAGGTGCTTTGGCAGACTCTGGCCTCTATACCACCCATTGCTAAAGGGGTGGAAAGATGATATTTTGTGCCGCAGAAAGTGTACAAATACCTTTTCACCCACCCCCAGCCGGGGACTGTGGTGGTCGATGCGGCAGACCACAAAGAGTGGCAAGGGCTGCTGGGTCCCGCGCCTAAGTCACGGGATGCTAAGAAGCTTGACCTTTTCGGCCAAAAAGTTTATTCAACTGCGGGGCTCCAGCTTTGAGTGGCCAGCCAGCAAGAGGTACTCAGCTGCTATGCTTTCAACTCTTGGAGCTCGTTGACAAAGTTCCAGGAGTTACTCCCGGCTGTCTCGCGCAAGGAGTTTAGCGCACTCCTTGAAGAGGACAGGGTGGTCTCTAGAACCTCACTCCAGGCCGCACTAGACGTGGCGGACTCGGCAGCTCAGACAATCGCCACCGCCATCACAATGAGGTGCAGTGCGTGGCTCCAGATCTCAGGGATAGCACCTGAGATCCAGAACACTATACAGGACCTCCCCTTTGACTGTGCAGGCCTGTTTGCCCAAAATACAGACTCTCACCTGCACAGCCTTAAGGACTCGCAGGCAACTCTGAAGTCTTTGGGGATCAACACCCCAGCACCTCAGAGAAAGCTTTTAAGCCTCAGCCCCCGTCCCGCTTCTATTCTGGGCCTCCTAGGCGAGACTCTCCAAGGAGACAGGGCAGAAACAATAGGAGGCGCTCGCCACAGTCCTCCTCAGGCCAAGGCCAGGGTTCAGCCCCCTGGCCCGAAGTCAAACTTTTGAAGATGCGCCCGAGGACGGAGCATCGGTTTCAGTCTCGGATCCTTACCTCCCCCCCCTTTGTGAATCGACTCTCCCGCTGCTACCGTTTTTGGTCCCAGATCACGTCAGATCGTTGGGTCCTCAGCACGGTAGGGGCGGGATGTTCTATCCAATTCTGTTCCCTCCCACCCCCCTTCCCCGTCCCTCTTCAGGGACCCTTCTCACGAGCAACTCCTCTTGCAGGAGGTGCAATCACTCCTCGCTCTAGGGGCAATAGAGGAGGTTCCTCAGGAGTTCAGGGGCAAGGGGTTCTACTCCTGCTATTTCCTCATCCCCAAGGCCAAGGTGGGCTCTGGCCTATCCTGGACCTGTGAGATCTCAACACATTCATAAGGAAGGTTTAGTTCTACATGATCTCTTTGGCCACCATCATTCCTTTCCTGGATCCGGGGGACTGGTACGCCACCATCGACTTGAAAGATGCATACTTCCATATATCTATTATCCTGGCCCACAGACGATTCCTGAGATTCATAGTCAGTGGCCAGCACTATCAGTTCAGTGTGCTCCCGTACGTGCTCTTGGCGGCCTCCTGGGTATTCACCAAGTGTATGGTGGTCGTGGCAGCCTTCCTCTGCAAACGTCAGGTGCAAGTATTCCTGTACCTAGAAGACTGGCTTATCAAGGCCGAGTCCCAAGCACGGGCCGCAGAGCATGTGTCCCTGGCCTGGGCCACGTTCCACATGCTGGGCCTCATATTGAACGTGCCCAAATCCACACTGGCACCGACGCAGAGAATAGAATTCATAGGGGCTCTCTTGGAATCCACGCAGGCCAAGGCGTTCCTGCCGGAGCTGTACTTCCAATCATTTATGACATTATCAAGCACCTTTGCCGGTTTCCCACAACCATGGCCAGAAATTGCATGAAACTATTGGGGCATGTGGAAGCCTGCACATATGTGATACAGCACGCCAGGTTACGCCTTCGGCCACTCCAGGCATGGTTGGCGCAGGTGCACAGGCCGGGCAGGGACCCGCTGGACACGATAGTTATCCTCTCCCCTCGCTTCGTCGAGTCTCTCCACTGGTGGCTGCAACCACAAGTTGTTTGTGCGGGAGTACCCTTTGCCAATCCCCATCCTATGCTGTTGGGGAGTGCACGTGGGCAATATCAGGACCCAAGGCCAATGGTCCCACACAGAACTATCACTGCATATCAATGTAAGGGAGCTGAGGGCAGTTCGACTGGCATGCC